AGTTTTAAAGCCGGTGCCTGTATTTAAGAAGCCAGGATATTGGGGATCCCTGGGTGGCTCCGCGGTTTGGCACCTGCCTTTGGCCCAGGGTGCGATCCTGGAGTCCCGGGATCGAGTCCCACGTCGGGCTCCCGGCATGGAGCCTGCGTCTCCCTCCTCCTGTGTCTCTGCCTCTCTCTCTCTCTCTCTCTCTCTCTCTCTCTCTCTCTCTCTATGTCTATCATAAATAAATAAATAAATCTAAAAAAAAAAGCCAGGATATTGCATGTAGAAACCTCGATGTGGAGCTTTCCATAGAGGTCCTCAGGTCCCCAGCGGCCGGGTGTCGGTGGCGGCCGCCCTCTGGGACAGCCGTGTGCCGCTTGCCTCTGCTCCTTGGTGCACTCCTGCCATCCGCCTGGCTCTGAAGGCATCTGAGAATCTGGCTCCAGCAACAGGCAAGATGAGAAGACAGCGGATCCCAAACATCACGGAGGTGGCTGCAGGACCCACGACCCCCTTGATCCTCCCAGTAGATTCGGGCCAACCTATGGCCTAAGTGGCCAATCATTCAAGTAGATGGAGCCGCTGGCGGGGCTGCTTGGGTCCGGGGTGGCTCAGGGCGAGGTGGCCCCCGGACCTGTTCCTCGGCAGGAGCCTGGGGCTTGGGTAGAGTGAGGCCAGCACGCTTGGGGGAGCTCGGCACAGAGACCCTGACTACGACGCAGCTCTCAGCGCAGGTACACTGGGCCTCAGTCGGCCACCAAACCCGAGAGGAAAGCTTGACCACCTCAGGCGTCCCCTCTGCTTAGTCCAGGCCGGTGTCGGGAGCTTGCACCCCCGGCTCCAGAATGTGTCCTCGGGGGAGGGCCCAGCCGGGTGCCCACTGGGGGGGCTCCTCCTGGGCAGCATCCAGCAGAGGCTCGCCCCAGATGAGTCCGTGCCCGGCTCTGCCGGTGGGGAACAGCCGTAGCCTGAAGCGTCCCTGCACCGTCTCGGGGACAGGGGAGGGTGAGCAGCAGTGGTCCTGCAGACCGTTTCAGGGTTGTGAAGAGAATAAAATCGAGGGTTTTGTTGTTTGCTTTTTTAAAACACAGATCCGAAGGGGTGGATCTACCCCCTGGAGGTTGGCTCCGGAGCATTTACGTGGCGAATGGGGGTGAAAGGGAGCAGCCCCCAAACAAAGCCTTTAGGAGCCCGTCAGGACATGGAACCTTGCTTGGAACCGTGCAGGGGGGCTCTTCGTCGGCGGGAGCGGGAGCTAGAGAAAGGCCAGAGAAGGGCTTTCCGGAGTCTGTGTGCATCACGTGCAGCCAAGCAGCCCTGGAAAGCTCACTACGTAGCCCTTAATCCGTCAGGGCCTAGACCCTGGGAGACTCGAATGCTAAGAATGAGCATCTCGTTTCTCAGCCATGACCTGTTTTCCCTGGAGAGTGGAGATCGAGGCCCAGTCTGGACTTTATTTTTATTTTTTTTAGATTTATTTATTCATCCGAGAGAGAGAGAGAGAGAGAGAGAGAGAGAGAGAGAGCCGTGAGCATGCCTAGGGGAGCAGCAGAGGGACGGGGGAGAGAGGGAATCTCAAGTAGACTCTCCTCCCCGCCACCGCCCAGCCCAGAGCCTGATGTGGGGCCCGATCTCACGACCGCGAGATCATGGCCTGAGCCAAAATCAAGAGTCGGACGCTTAACCGGCTGAGCCGTCCAGGGCCCCCTGTTCTGGACGTCAGAAGAGCCATGGGTCGAACAAAGAGTTTCTCTCCCTGTACTGTGTGCGTGTCACGCACGAGTGATGGGGGTGTGCGTGCGTGTGCACATGCCTGTTGTGTGTGTGATGGGCTGTGACGTGTGTGCATGTGGTGTGCATGTGTGTGAACTCCCCTTGCTTCACTAACCCAACGCAACGGGAGCTGGTTCTTCATTCAGTTGCCCTCCTCGGAGGATGGAAGGGGATTATTCATTCGATCAAAACATCGCGTGTCGGAGCGCCTGGGAGGCTCAGTCGGTTAGGAGTCGGCCTTGGGCTCAGGTCATGACCCCGGGGTCCTGGGATCGAGCCTGCTTCTCCGTCTCCCTCTGCCTGCGGCTCCCCTCTGCCCCCTGCTCGTGCTCTCTCTCTCTAATAAAATCACTCAATCAATCAAATATTAAAAAAAAAAAAACCCACATGGTATGTGAATGGATCTGCCTGCTTCTGGGTGTGTGGTGCCTACACGGATGTGCACATGGGCCCCCGACCCCACTCAGGAGACCGGGTTTTGCTCTTGACGTGCGTTTCAGAGCCGACGTGAGCCTTAGGGGACGCGACATCTCCACCTTCCCACGTTGTACGATGAGGAAGCCAAGTCCCCGAGATAGGAGTCGGGTGCCCCGCGTTGTGCAAAGTAGCGTGGGGGCTCTGGCGCCTGGGAGGACTCTGCAGACACTCCGCAGGCTGAGCCGTCCCACGGGGCCCACGTGCCAGGGCCCGCCCCGGGGAGCTCCCTCCAGTGCTGCTGCCCCCGGGCTCCCCAGAGGCCCACGGAGGGGGCATTGACAGCCCAAATCCCAGCCTTCGCCCTGCGCCAGGTCACTCCCGACTTCTGGAGGTGGAGGTGGGACCCGGTAGCAGCCCTTTTTAAAGCTCCCAGGCCTTTTCCCCTTGGCTGTAGTCTTTACCCTGCCCCGGAACCCCCCCGGGACCTCGAGAACCAGGACTGTGCTCGAGGCTCCAGAAGGAGGGTCTTAAAATCCCCTGTTGATTCTGCTGCACGGTCGAGTCGGAGAACCACTGCCCTGGTGTGCACGTCGGATGTGCGTCCTTTGGAAATATGCACACGTGTCCTGGGGCACCCCTGCCCGCCCCCACCCCCGGCCCCGCCGAGTAAGAAGACCGCCCCCACCCCCGCCCCCCGAGGCCTGGAGGCCACAGCCCACCTCCGTAGCCCCCGCTCATGAACGCCCGGTGCGTTCCCCGCAGACCCTCTGCCAGATGCGCCTCCTCACTTCCAGGTGCATCTGTGATGCGCAGCCCGAGGGCGGCCCCGCGCCCGCAGGCCTCACCTCTGCAGGCCCTCGCTGCGGGGCTGTCCCCAGCTTCCCACTGCCTCGGAGCCAGGATGCCGGGTCCCCGGTGAGGCTGTCCCCTGGAGAGCCTGACCCCCGCCCAGCTGGCCACCGGGCCTCCAGGCCACCCCGGCAGCGCCTGTCCCACTGCGGGATCCCTCGCCTCCGACCAGATGTCCCCACAGCGCCGCCGGAGGGAATCTGAGCCCAGCACAGGGACTGACTCCAAGAAGCGGGGAAAGGGGCCCCCGTTAGCTCAAAGGGGATAGAGCCTTCCTGCCCGGTGCTGTCACTGGTCTAGCCAGACGCGGCTGGGACCTTTGCTCTTAGGGAACCATGTTCCCAGCTGGGCCCCCTGCCCGGCTCTGATGTGTCCAGGGCAGCCCTTCCCCGGCTTGCGGGAGCAGACGAGGCGCACAGACAGAGCCAACATTTTGAAGAGGCAGGCGTGGCTTCTCCAAGGTTCCAACGCGAAATCTGGAGGTGACGTGGAGTCCCCTGCTCAGAGCCTGGGCTGGGGGGCCCCCCTGTGTGCAGCACCCACCCAGCAGTCCCTCTCCCCTCCTCTCGACTGTGTCGCCCCCCCAATGCCCCACGCCGTGGAGATTGGGAGCCGGGGCCTCCGCTGAGGCACGTGGGGTATCTTGGGGATGCACCGCTCACCGATGACGCGCTGTTGCTTTTTACATCAGTCTGGTTTACGCTAGAAGAGAGGAAGGGGTGGGGGTCGGGGGGCGTTTGGGGGGGGGGGCGAAAGGAGTTTCCCGGGAGGAAAAATTGGTGGATATTGGGAATAAGCTAACGGACGGCCACAGCCCCACGTCTTCCGGAGAGCTCTTCCAATCCCAAAGTCTAGAAAAAGACCCTGGATCGCGGACAGACTCCTGGAATATATTTCGATCCACGTCTGTTTGTTCTCCTCCCTTCCCTCGACGCCACAATGCGGGCAGGTCCACGTTGTATGTTTTACGGTGCCTTTTCGGTGGTGGAAAGAACAATAGAAGTTGGGTGTTGAATTTAAATAAATATTTAATTCATGAAAATGATCTTATATGTTTTAAAAAACACTCTTTAAAGCTATTTTTATTCTCTAGAAAGCGCTTATTATAGGTAAATTACACATTTTACTACCGGAGCATTAGGTTTGCCATTAGTACAAATTTAAGGCGCTACAAAGACCAGTAGATAATGTTAATTTCAAATACAGAAACTAAATATATTTTGTACCTTTTTTATTACTCATTTTCTTTTAAGTTTTATTGACTGCTTTTTATCTTAACTATATGTCTTTACATGCTGCAATCATAATGCACCGTAATGGTATTAATATTTTATAGAATCGGTATTTATAGTTCTTTATTTAGAAACAATGCAGTAGGTCTGCAGATATCTGAGCTCGTCTGGAATGGTGCCCTCCAAATAATGATAAATTACTTGTGCAGTATGCCATTTGCTAATTATATCCATGATTTACTGCAGAGCAAGACTTAAATCATTCATTTCAGTCTTGCGTAACAGTGCCATAAAATTTTTAGGTTTAAAAATGGTTTCCATGTGTATAATTTAAACAAATTTTAGAGCTATTGTATACACAAAATATCGCAACCACCCATTTGTTACATACTTTGTCTTTTTAAACTTCTACTTTTAATGATCACTGTGGTTGAAATTATTATGCTTAATTTTCATAATCATAGCTTTTAAATCTACAGCCGTTTTCACATGTTAGATAAAGAAAAAGATAGCTAATTGTGTGTAGATAGTATGTCATTCCTGAATAGTCCCAAATGGTACAAAATCGTTAAAAAAGCTTAAGAGTACGAATTATTCTTCTATTAAAAAACAGTTGTTCGCCAACTAATTATTAGTTTGAGCTGCTTTGTTTCCAAGAACAAATGTTGATCCTTCTGGCCCTGTTCAGCACACCAAAATGAGATAAACGCTCTCTCTCTTTCTCCTTGTACCGAAACCTTGCAGGTGAGAAGCCCTACAAGTGTCCCCACTGTGATTACGCCGGCACCCAGTCAGCGTCCTTAAAATACCACCTCGAGCGGCATCACCGGGAGAGGCAGAACGGAGCCGGGCCGCTGTCCGGACCGCCCCCCAGCCAAGACCACCGGGACGAGCTGCCCAGCAAAGCCGCTTTGTTCATCCGGCCGGACATTCTGAGGGGGGCCTTCAAGGGCCTCCCCGGGATCGACTTCAGAGGCGGCCCCGCCTCTCAGCAGTGGACAGCCGGAGTGCTCTCGTCCGCGGACCACTCGGGCCAGGCCAGCGGCATGGCTCCCGAGGCTCCTTCGGAGGCCCTGAAGGGCGCCGACCTGCCTTCCAAAAGCACCCACTTCTCCGACATCGGGAGAGCGTATCAGAGCATCGTGAACAACGGTGTGAATTTCCAGGGGTCCTTGCAAGCCTTCATGGACAGCTTCGTCCTCAGCTCCTTGAAGAAGGAGAAGGACGTGAAGGACAAGACCCTGTCCGACCCTCCCTCCACGAAGGTGCACGGGCCGGACGGCGGTGAGGACAAAGCCGGCGGGAAGGCGGGCCCCAGGAAGTCGGAGAAATCTCAGTACGAGCCTCTAGACTTGTCGGTGCGGCCCGACGCCGCCTCGCTCCCGGGCTCGTCGGTGACCGTGCAAGACAGCATCGCGTGGCACGGCTGCTTGTTCTGCGCCTTCACGACGTCGTCCATGGAGCTGATGGCCCTGCACCTGCAGGCCAACCACCTGGGCAAAGCCAAGCGCAAAGACAGCGCCGTCGGGGTGACGGTCAACTGCAAGGACCAAGCCCGGGAGGCCGGCAAAGCGGCCCTGCTGCCCTCCGTACAGTCCAGCAAAGAGATGGCCCTTTCCAACATGCTTGGGCCTCTGGAGGCTGCTTCCGAGAAGACGGCCCAAGGAGCCGCCAAGGAGACTCTGGGGGAGCCGAAGAGCGGCGGCGCGTGGCCCGGCCTGGTGGACCCCGCGTTCTGTAACTTCCCGTCAGACTTCTACAAGCAGTTTGGCGTCTACCCGGGCCTGGTGGGCTCGGGGGCCCCCGGTTCCTGCGCCGGCAAGGAGCCCGACGGGAAGGCCCACTCGGAAGACGACGCCCCGATCCTGATCCCCGAGACCGCCAACAAGAGCGCTCCCGACGACCTCTCCGACATTGCCTCCTCCGAGGACATGGACTCCTCCAAGGGGGAGAACAACGACGAAGAGGATCTGGAAACGGAGCCCGAGATGATGAGCAAGCCCCAGTCGGCCCTCGGCAAGGACGGCGGCGGCGACGGCGGGGACGGCCTGCTGCCCGCGGGCGCCCCTCAGCCCGTCCAGGGACTGGTGTCGCCGGGACCCCAGGTGCCCGAGAAGCAGTGGCACGGCCCGGGCCTCCTTCCAGCCCAGGACCCCTCGGCGGGCCTGCCCAAGCCGGAGCGGGGCCCCCCGGGCCTGGAGAAGCCGCTGAACATGTTGTCGGTCCTCAGGGCCTACAGTTCTGATGGCTTAGCAGCCTTTAACGGACTTGCCAGTAGCACAGCAAATTCTGGATGTATCAAGAGGCCAGACTTGTGTGGTAAGTTTTAGAATCGTCTTCCTTTAGTTCCCTTCCCGAAACATCAGTGCCGAATCGTGCGTTTTTAAAAAGTTGAGGTAGACGCCTCCGTTGGCACGCGTTTGAACTAACCGTGCCAGCCCCCCAGCGATGCTGTATGTGCAGTGTAGACAATCACCAGGGTCGATCTCCATTGGAAGTTCTCGCACTCACGCCTCCGGGCCGGGGTCCGCACTCCCGGGAAATGACCCTAATGTACGGACGGCGTGAGGGTGCGGGGGTGGCGGGGCAGGGCGGGGTGGGGGGGGGGCCTCGCGGTGCGCACCACTCCTGTTTTTAATCTCTAACTCGAGGGGGAGAAAAATCTTAAAAAAAAAAAAAAACACAGAAAAGCGGAAACAAAAAGACCCGGTAACTCGCAAACCCGTCAGTATTTCCAGCTTCCGCGTAAGACGGCTAGAGACCGTTGCTTTCTGCTTCGCTAAAGCCAAACCCGCTTCCTTCAACTTTGCTTTGTGTCGGCGCAGGGGGCACCAAAATCCTATCCCACGAGCTGACCACGCTATGGAAATAAAGTGATCCCCTCTCCAAGGCGGGAGATTGTTTCGGGGTGTTTGTGCCTCCTCTTTAGACAGCTCCTGTGGCTTCGGCTCCCTCCTCTCGCCTTCCGCCCCTCTGTCCGCCTGATGTTCTGACGAGACGTGTGCGCTGCGAGATCCCCGGGCAGCCGTGTTGTGATCCCGTGTGTCTTGGACTTGGGCCTGCCTGGTCTTGTTAGCAAATTGGCACTTCTTTACCTCCTCCCCGAATATGGTTTACCCCAAAGTAATTCCAGATCTTAAAACCTAAGAATAGATTTGAAGCCTAGAAGCAGATCAAATGAACGCCGGGGCGGGCGGGGAGGATCAAAGACATTCCCCTGGCACCCAGGTATTCGTATCCCAAAGCCTTTCCCCCCTGAAAGGAGGCCCCGCGTGTTATCCCCGGACGCCGGATATCCTGGCCAGAGAGGAGGGATGGTGGTGCCTCTCCACGTCTCACCTAGGAGTGGATGTCTGTGACGCTCCGCACCTGTCGAGGACAGCAAAGGACGGAAGGAAGGAAGGAAGGAAGGAAGGAAGGAAGGAAGGAAGGAAGGAAGGTGGGAGGGAGGGAAGGGGTTACTTCCTAAGCTCTGAATTCTGATGGTGACGTTTAGCGCGGAGCAGAATTCAGGAAGCTGGACTTGGTTCACAATTTCAATGGATATATATATATATATTATTTTTTTACCTTCTCTTTCCCTAATTCGCTAAGAACGGGATCAAGCAGTCAGAAATATATATATATATATACACACACATATTTCTTTTTTGAATTGTCAAAAATCACTAAATGGATTTCTGACAGCTTAAAAAAATATTGACAGTTCCTTATGCTGAATGATTCACACGGCTCCATTAACCAGCAACCCCCTCCCCAGGTCTATTTTTACCCACATACAATTCATGACTTTTTGAGGCTCTTAAAAACAATATTTAAAGGAAGGAGAAAAGGTTTTTTTTTTTTTTTTTGTTTTTTTTTTTTTTTGAGAAAAGGGTTTTATGTGACTCCAGTTTCCTCCTCTCCCCAAACCACCCCCTCCTTTTTTTTTTTTTCCCCCTGGGGAAGCAATGTTAAATCTTTTTTTAAGATTTTTTAAATTTCTTGGTTGTTTTAAGTTTGGGACTTTTCTTCTTTTATTGTTGTTTGGGGGATTTTTTTTTTTTTAAAGCCTACTCTCCCTTCTTTCAAATACCTATGGCGGACCCTAGTTCCTGCCAGGAATTCATGCATCAGAAACGATCAAAACCTGGCATGTGCATAAGCTCATTCTTACTGAAATGAGCTCCGGTTACCCCTATTAATTTCCCCATCTTCCTCTCAGTGCAGTAGGAAGGCTGCTTGCCTCTGCCTCCGAGGAGCTTGCCCACTGGTGTCCTTTTGCACAGGTTGCACAGGTGAGAGTGGAGGGGAAGGCAGGGGGAGCGTGCATCCAGCCCTGTGAATGGCAGCCCTTAGGCACTTCTGGCCCCTCCCCACGCAGCAGCTCAGGACACACCCCTGACAGCTCCAGGGTTTGTGCAAAAAAAAAAAAAAAACCTTGGCTTGGTTAACCTTTAGGCCATCGGGCATCAGATCCTGGCCCCTCGCTCGAAAGGGGGAAGGAGGACCCTGAGTCCAGCCAGGCCAGGACCAGGCGCCGTGGTTCCCCCTCCAGGTCAGGGTCCGGGCCCATGTGCTCTACTTTGCACTCACGGTAAGATGTCAAAACAAACTCTGGCCGTAAACTGCCTATTTTTAGAGAGCGCAAGTTCTGCACTTCGTTTGGGCCTCATTTCTTCCGTTGTCCTCCTGCTCGAGCTCAGAAGCAGGCAGGGAAGGCCTTTGCCTGGCTCCTGTGCCTGCTCGGGGCGGGGCGGGGGCACCATCCTCTTGCCTCCAGGATGAGCCTGACCCTGCCCAGTCTTCGCTCCTCCACTCCCGTACCTGGCCCACCCTAAGCAAAGCCAGGCATATCCATCCTTCCTAAGGGGCAGTATCTGGGGGGGGGGGGGAGGGGGGCTGAAGCCTCACCAGGTACAGAATGGGCATGTGGGGGGCGTTTTTCTCACAGCCCACCTCACCGTCTTTCTAGCTTTGCAAGAAGCACAAATAATAGTCAAAAACTCCGAGCCCCCCACCACCCCCGCCCCCCCGCCGCCTTGGCTTGGCTTTGCAAGAGCGGAAATGATGTTGGCACGAGGAATCAAATATTCCTGATGTTTGTTCCTTCTTCTCTGCTCCACTCAAAGTGCATATGGATTTCCACGCGGAACCGCCAGCTTGATACCTGGTCTCCCCCAAGAAGCTGGGCTTTGTCAAAGCAAAGAATTATTCCGGTATTCCTCATCTCAGGGGAGTTTGGGGTCTGATTTTTGTCTAGTCAGTCAACCCAAATCCCCACTTTGATGCCCCTAGAAACAGGCTTGTAGGAGGAGCTAATGTCCGTCTGTTTCTGTTCTCATGGGTTGTAAAAGTGTTTGAAGAAGCATCAGTAAAAATGTTGTTCGGATCACGCAGACTCCCCACAGAGCTCAGCAGCTACTCTGACACATGCTTGGCGAGTTGGAGGAGGTGGCGTCGAACCCTGAAGCCTGTGGGTGATATCCCTGTCGTAGGCTCTACCTCCAGGCGGCTCCCTGGGTCTGCATGCCTGCTTCCTGACCGTGACACCTCTGGTCTTACGTTCCTTGCCCCCCCCCCACCCGGACCTGGGTTCCTGGCCCGTGAGCACGGCCCATTCCGGGCCAGTGCGTTTCCAACTTTGGTTCAGAAGAGAGAGTTGAAGAGAGGGGCCGGCCCAGCCCGGTGGGCGGCAGAGTCCTGGAGCACGCGCCAACGTTCGGAGCCCGCGCGTGAACCTTGCAGGGTGCTTCCATAGGGCGTAGCGCATCCGCCTGTCAGAGATGTACTAGGGGAGATCCCGAGGAGGAGCCGTCTTGGGTGGAGCTGGAGGACACACGCGGTTGCTTGTAGAGTGGGTCGGATCCCGCTGTGGGCCTGACGCCATCGGGCGAACTGCCACTGCGATTGAAGCGTCCGTTCCTTGAGGTGTCTTTCAGACTCCAGGCATAGCCCGCATTTCCTTGTTCTGCTGAAGAACATGACAGGCAAGGTCATTGAGTGCCATTAAGGAACTTGGCTGTGCCCTCAGGTTTTTGGAATGGATTTGACCTTGGTCCCGTAATGGGACAGGAGCCACATGGGTATTTAATTAGGGAGGAAGGGCAGGCCGGAGCAGGGCTCACATCCACTGATAGGACAAGGCGGGCAACCCCCTCGTCCTGTCGGAAAAAACTTTGGTGAACTGTTGGGCCAGCCAGCAGCTTGCAGGCCGGGGAGCACGGGCGGCACGGGCTTCTGTGTGCCCCAGACAGCGCAGGGGCCCGTCTGCGCAGCACCTGGAGGGCTGGCCGCGTGGCAGGGTCGCGGAGCATGTTTCACTCCAGTTTGTGGATTTGGAAAGCAACCAGATCGCCCTTACTCTCTGCCTTTCAAACCTGAGACAGATGGCTGGGGGTCATCATGTGTTGAGTCCTGCAAGCGGAGTTTGCTCTGCCGGTGTCTTCTGGTGCGCCCGGGGTCGGGTTGATGGGAAGCATTGAAGAGAAAGGCAGTAAGAAGAGCATGAGCCCCTCTGCCCTTCGGGGCTCTGGAGTTGGCGGCACGCGGGGAGGCCGGGCCGAGCGAGGAGACACCAGCATGTCTGTCATGGGCATGGGCTCTCACGCAGTAGCTCCCAGCCCCAGGCACCCGGCGGGCCCCTGGGCAAGCTAGTGGGAAGGCAGGGCCATTAGCAACAAAGGTCTCAGTCGTCCCGATTTATTATCTGCAGGTTACTGGGAACCTGGCCTCCCTACCCCGAATTACGCCTGAGACCAAGGATTCCCCGGGCTTCCAGAGCAATGAGAGAATTAGGACCCCTCCTTAAAAAAAAAAAAATAGAACACGGGGTCCACTGAAACCTCTTCCCATTGTGATAAAATGAGCTGTGCTTCACCGTGATAAAATGAACCAGGGCATCCAAGCTGAGCGCTCTTAAAATGTGACTCTGGCCTCCCCCAAGCTCGCCGCTTTCCAGCACAGAGAGTATCTGGAAGTGGTCACCATTTACCGGCTACACAGTCCAAAGCAGGAGTTGGGAACGATTTTCTTCAAGAGCCAGAGAGGAAATAAGTTAGGACTGCAGGCAGTGTGGTCTGGGTCACGGCCACCCGGCCCTGCCCCGCCAAGTGAAAATCAAACAGATAGGCGTGGCCGTGTTCCAATAAAACTTTATTTACTAACGCAGGCGATGGGCTGGATTTGGCCCACGTGTCGGCCAGCCGGGCCACCCCCAGCTCTAGGGTAGAGCAGGATGTCGTCCCTGGAGGAGGCACGCGGGAACCTGTCTGTTGTGGCTCTGCTGGCCCAGGAGCGACGTAGGGAAGGCCCAGGATAGCAGGTGCTGGGCTCCATCT